GTGCCCGCCTGGGGTTCCCCCGTCACAGCCGGGCAACCGCTCGTAGCTCGTCAGCATAGCGCTACCAGCGCTACGGTTACCAATTTCAGTGTGACCCGCAATGACACTCACGTCAAGTAAGATATTCAACCACTGCCTAATCTCTCCTTCAGCAGTTCTCTAGAAACATCAAAGGCCCTAACAATGCCTTCTCAGCTACTTTGCCACAATTCAGGTTAACCCTGACCACCCGGCCCTCGATTTCACCCACGCCACCGCTGGGACTGCTGTCCCAGCCAACAGCGGATTCTGGACCAACTCAGCCCTTGATACCTCTCTGCTATTCCGTTTCAACCGTTTCCCTACCAATGGTCAATACCGCCTTGTTCTAACCGACACCCATAATGTTGGTGCAAGCGTCAGTCTCTCAACGATTACACCTGGTAGCGACTGGGCTGGCTCTGGCAGTGTCATCTACACGGGCCCCGCGGGATTTACTCTGGTGTAGCTAAGGAGCTGTCTATTTCTCAGCTAAGGGAGTGGAGAGTACATGTAAGAAAGGGGTCATGGCGCTGGTGGCTTACGAACACGGCTAAACACTCAACCCATCGTGACCTTTAGAAAGAGATGGTCACTTTTTATTCTCTTCCAGAATGTTTTTGATTTTTTTTCCCGCTTTGCTTGACAGCTAAGGTAGACCTTGGGTCAAGAAAGTGTTGCGTCCTCTCGCCTGATGGCTGTCGGCTAGTTTTACACATGCAGACTGCAATTCGAATAGATGCTAGCCTTTTATCACTCCAACTGTCCATCTTCAAGCTGATGGACTAAGACCTGGCTGCTTACTTCCGCATCTTTTCATGTCTAGGCTGTTAACGAGCTGTGATGAGGAGAGCAATCTAAACGTTGACGAGGGTTCGCGCTGTATTTTAGATAGCTTTGCATCTCAATATTTGTCCTTTCCACCATACGCATCAAACATCCTGTCCCTTCCACTCCCGTCACGAAGCCTTCACAATTGTCAACGTCACACCCGCCCGATCTCCACCCTCATCCGCATTTCTAACCTGATCTACCTTAAGCTCAAGCGTCTGATCCTTCCTCACAATCTCGGAGCCCTCCACGTGCCCATCAAGATCTGAAGTGCTCTCGCGTGTCCCTTCATACAAATCAATCAAGTAGCTAACTGAGAGGGAGAGATCCGACGGATCCAGCGCCAGCACCAAGAATACCTCGACGCGAATCTCTCTCCCCCCAGCAAACGGATTCGTTCTCAAATGTAGCCTAATGCAGTTGGTGAATTGCGGGCAATAAAAACTGGCTGCGGGGACTGGTGAAATAGGAGGGACACTCAAGGGCTTGGAGAAACCATAGAGGTCTTATATGTTCGATTAGGCCAGCTAGAAAGATCCTGATTCCGAAGTTAGTCCCATTCTCCCGCCGAAACGACGAGATAGGTCCGCCGAGAGATCTGTTACGTGGGGAAGGATGAGAGGCCCGACCGCATCTCAGTGCTCTCGCATCCACTAGAAACCACTTCTTAGCGTTAGACATGTGGAGCAACTCCCAAAGCCGGCTAGGCCTTCGCATCTCAGTACCGTGAAGCAAGGATTCAAAAGTACGATACTTCCGATGCCGCCAACTGGGAAAGACATAAAAGATGACCAATACTACGCTGCCGAATCCTGCGTGGGCCAGTGCGTGCCCGGGCTGCGCTGCCCGCTCCATCCAACCCGTCGACCTAATGTGATGGGAAGTTGGATGGGAGACGAAAGGGTTTTGTGCTTAAGTGGCTGGGAAGAGCGATTAAAAACTGTTGCTAACTGCTAGCGCTGACTTCCCCAGGTAGCATTTTCATCATGATCTTATGTTCACCTGTCAACCTTTTCTCTGTGGCCCAAGTGCCCAGCCCAAATTCAACTGACCAATCGTGTCACTGTCGAGCGATACTCTCTTCAGGCTTGGATGCCATCGACCAGGCACTGTCAACCCGCCATTCAGATGGAAATGTTACCATTGATAATAGGCAAGGTACTCTCTTGAGATGCGTGGATAGAAATTACTTCACCGAGATCATTTCCCGGTCTGATTTAGACCTCACCTTCGACCTTTGCATCCCAACTTTTCTCAGTCCCCTCCATCTTAAACACCTCTCCTTCCACAGTCTGCTGCATCTCATCCTCATTACTATCCTTACTGCACTCCCATGGTTACCCCTTGTAATGCCCAACTATGGCAGAACACGGCAGAGTAGGTAGTTACTGTGTTACCCCAATAGGCAGAGCAGAGGCGGAGAGTGTCGGAAGCTGACATGTCGCAGGCGCTGCAGAGTTCCCAAACGATCTCACTATTACCTAACTCCTCCCCGTCCGACTGGTTTTGACAATTCCAACACTGCACCACGACAGCGACAGCCACTCATAGGCGACAATACCGAAAAAAAAAAAATCTTTCTAGACGCCAAGAGGTGACACATCAAGGCAGGCGAGAAAAAAAAAGCTAAGTATTAGCACATTCAAACGCCATAGCGGGGTTGCCAAGGGGCGGAAAATAATAAACGGCAAAAGGTGTCTCCAAATCACGGTCTCACGTGGTGGCGGGCTCCATATTGATAGGGCCAGACTGGTCGGCGGGTCCCCACGGGGTAGCATTGCCGCTGCTCCATTTGCAAAGTGGAATCACCAGGAATCGCGATCGAACTGGAGGAGCTTTGGAAGGATTGAGACTGCTCTTGCCGAAACACTCTGCCCAGAAGGTCTGCCCAGAAAATCGTCGTCAATACCCGTGTGCCTGGCTTGTCGAGCGTCAGAGGTTGGTCCCGAGGCGGCCTGGGCGATGACAGGTGGAAACCTCGCCAAAAATAACCGCCGTTGGAACCGCGCTGAAAACAGTCAGGTGGTGCATTTGCCATTTTAATTCGGGCTGCCTCCAGTCGGTCTGTGTCACGTCAACTCAGGGGTCGGAAAAAAGTGCGAGAAACCCTCTGGCATCTTTTTCTCCGCGGAACTTTGGCGAACCCGGGAGTGGTGACGCAAGATTTCAAGTGAGCTGTCAAATGTCGCGTCAAATGTGCACAAATCGCCCCTTGCACCTTCAGCCCCGTGTTTGGTGGGCAGGCACCGGAACCGCGGCCGGGGTAACCAGGGCTCCAGCACTGAAGTGCACCGAAGTGGGGCACACCGGGGCTCTGCCGACCACTAGCAGCTAGCGTTATGACCAACGGAAATCTCTTCGACGTCACGGGAACCATGGTCTTACGTCTTGCGAACGACGTGCTCGCGAGCTTTTGTCCACGAGCGCCAGCTGCGGAGACGCGACCGAGGAAAAGAGCTGAGCGGTGTGCCCCGCATCCGATGGGGTCGAACGGGTTGGCACGGTTTTAGCAAAGGGGGCCAAGGCGAAATGTGTCAACGGGAGTTCCTGTCAATCGATAAAATAGCCAAGTCTTCCCCGGATTTTGATGACACGACTGACGTGAACTGTTCGCTTCATTGTTCATCCAACATCTTCCATCTCCCTTTGTCATCGGTTGCCCGTTGACTACTTATTTGCGCGCCTGTTTGGGGCCATTGTCCTGTTGACAACTTGGACCACACAATCAATTACACCCGTGCATCCAACTGCCGTACCCAACATGTCAGACCCAACAATTACCATCGCCGCAAAAAACGGCACGGCAAACAGCCGCTTCTACCAGATGCTCCCCCCCGAGATTCGACGACGCATTCTCATCGAGGCATTCGGCGGGCGAACGCTGCACATTCAACGATGCGGCCCAGACAGCGAAGCGCCCGACGCACCGCCGCCCTGTGATCAATTCCATGTCCTGTGGAAGCAGTGTCATCGCGTCAAGGGCACCGCGCCTTCGCTGAGACACTGTGTAGGTTACGACTGGGATGCCGACGTCTGGGTGTTCCACCCTACGCGCTCAAGTCTCAAGCGAGACCCCAGCTACCTCAGGGGCGCCAGAGGCTGGCTGCTCTCATGTCGCCTTGGGTAAGATCTCATCCCCTTTCACTCCGAATTCCAATCCTCAAATCATAATCTAATCAATTCATTTTCACAGCTACATCGAAGCCATCGAAGCAATCTACGCCACAAACACCCTCCACATCCGCACCCGCTTCGTCGGCGCCGGACCCGCCCGGAACATTCCCGAGCGCATGCTGCCCAATGTGACATCACTCGAATGGGTCACCTGCGTCTTCCATCGCACGGCTTCCGGAGACCACGAGAACCTTCCCCAGGTGCTGCGCTCGCTCCCCCTGCAATTCCCGAATCTCCGAAGGCTCTACTTTGGCATGCAATGGCTCGCCGGCAACGTGGATCGCGGGTCCCACGCGATGGGACGGAACCGCGCGCTGCGGTGGTATGACGAGGCTTTGGTGCTGTGTGATCAATTGGTCAAGGATTTCAAGGGAAGGTTGGAGATGGAGGTGGGGATTTGCTCGCAAAAGGTGGAGGAGAGTTTTACGGAGGATTTGGCCAACGGGAGGGCCAGAATTGAGGCGCCAGGGTGGCGGGAGGGGATGTTCAAGGTCAAGAAGGCGGATCGTTGGGCGCAGCCAAAACCGGAGGTTGAGGCGGTGCTGGGGCCGCGGCCGCGACTCTGGAGAACAGTCAAGACCGATGATGCCGAAGGGAGGGGTGATAAGGAGTTGGGGTACTGGCTTGGGATTGTGGAGGAGAACCCGTGCTATCAGAACCACGGGTGGGTCGAGATGATGCATCAGATCTGGGAGGGGGAATCAGCGGAGTGAGGGGGTGCTGTTATGGTTGACATGGGCGGGCACTCAGGTCGGTACGGTACGATAATCACTAATCATGGGAACGGTAATTAAAATGGGATGGTATGGGTAATACAAAAGTACTGTTGTGGCTTCGAACGTTAAGGCTTTATTTTCACTGAATCACATTCGTTCTCTTTGAACCCTCCTCATCGGTCATCTTATATGCCGATTGGCACCGCTTAGCTCAATCATCGTAAACCGCTGTTCCGGCCAACCCGAACATCTTAACAAGCTGGTTTCGTGGTCTAGCGGTACGATTCTCGCTTAGGGTAAACCCCTGAGTCAATTTGCAAGAGGTCCCAGTTCAATCCCCGGCGAAACCCTGTATCCCTGGCTCCCGATTCCAATTGGATCAAAGAGTCACTTTTTGCCCCAGGGCCCCACAGAGAATCTCAAGACTTAGAGCTCGGCGGTGCCTTAGCAGAAAGATCGTCAATAGACAGAGGCGAGTGGTGTATGAGTAAGTTGCAGAGATCAACGCCAATCATGACGAAGAAGCCGGATTCTAGTGTTTTGGACGAGTAACTTAAGCTAAGATACTTCATCCGGAATGACGTTCGCCATCAGCCCCGCATTCTGCGAATAGTCGATCCTCACATCCACCACAACAACCCCCTTCCACGTCAGTGCCTCCTTCATCGCCGTCTCCAGCTCCGCAGAACTGCTCACCGTCATCCCTCTTGCCCCCATCGACTCAGCATACTTTTTGAAATCAACACCTCCCAGCTCAACCCCTGAGCTCCTCCCGTATTTGTTCACCTCCTGGAATTCCACCATGTTGTAACTGCCATCATTCCACACGAAATGCGCGATGTCGCAACCCTGCTGAACCGCAGTCACCAGCTCCTGTCCACTAAACAGGAACCCGCCATCACCGCTGATGGAGACGACTTTCTTCGATGATGGCGGATCTTGTGAAAAGCAGGCGCCCATGGCCCAGGGGAGGGCAACGCCGAGGGTTTGCTGAGCGTTGGAAACAAGGAAGCTATGCGGTTCGTAGGAGTAGAAGAAGCGGGACAGCCAGATGTAGACTGACCCTACGTCGGATATGACGGTTGTGGAAGGAGGGAGGAGTTCTTGGAGGAGGCGGATGAAGTATAGAGGATGCACTGGGCCACCGTTTGGGTTGGGTTGAGCGCTGGGATCGGCCTGCCAGCAAGTGAAGGAGTCAAGGATAGACTTCGCGATGGGGGTTTCCTGTGGGCGGGCGACAGGGGTGGACGAGAGGAGGGTGGTGAGGGCGGTGATGTTCTCAGTGATGGAGCCGGTGAGTTCGATAGACGGACAATATGACGCTACGAGGTCCGCAGGTGATGTGTCGACATGGATGATCGAGAAGCGGTTGGTAGGGTTGAGAAGGTTGGCATCGTACTCGGCTTGGTCGTAGCCAACTGATATGATTAGGTCGGCATGCTGGAGGAGCTTGTCACCGGCTTGGTTACGGAACAACCCGATGCGGCCGAAGAAGAGGTGGACCAATTCCTTCGAGATGGCACCTGCGGCCTGGAATGTCTCCACAACAGGGATGGGGTGGTCTCTCAGGAATGCGTGCACTGCAGAAACAACCGGCGCATCGGCGGCTCGGGCCCCCAAGAAGAGAACTGGAAATTTTGCTGCTGAGATTGCCGTCGCAGCCGCGGTAAGAAGCGACGTCGGAGAAGGACCGTATTCCGGAGGCAGAAACCGGTGAGCGGGGAAAGCCGGGATGCTCGTCTTCATGCCAGCCGTGATGACATCGATCGGAAGAACGACGGCCGTGGCGCCGCGAGGATGCGCGTTAGCAACGCGGAAGGCATCGACAAATATCTCAGCGACCTGGTCGGGCACAATGGCTTGCACGACTTTCTTCGTGACAGGCGCGAGGAGATCGGTGGCGCGAAGGCTTTGGTGCGTGCGCTTCGCAGTCTGCGCGCGCTTCACGCTCCCCACGATGGCCACCATGGGCGCGCCTTCGTCTGTTGCCGTGATCAATCCGGTAACGAGATTGCTGGTTCCCGGTCCCGATGTTGCAATGCACACGCCCGGTCGGCCCGTGAGCTTGCCGATTGCAGCGGCGATGAATGCTGCATTTTGTTCGTGACGACAGACAATCAGCTTAATTTCGGGGTGGTCGATGAGGGCGTTGAAGACGGAGTCGATTTTTGCTCCGGGCACACCGAAAACGTATTTGACGCCCGCCGCTAGAAGCGAGTCAATGACGACTTGCACTGTCTCGGTTGTCATTGTTCTGTGGAAGGTGCGACGGCGGCATATGGTGTCTAGGGATGCAATGGCGCGTTGAAAATGAGAATTGATTGCAAGATAAGTCGATTCCTCGCAGCTTGCTCTCTCCCGAACTCGGTGTGGCAATCCACCCCTCTTCTCGTTTCTGCATCTGCCTCCGTAAGCAGCCGTTCCATCCAAGATCTTCAGGCACGGAACCGTTCAAGATCCCGTAGTGGGGCAGTTGCCCCGAGACCGGGCTCTCAGTGGCTGACTCCCTCTTTCTCCGAACCTGCGTTCAGAAGGCGCTGATAAGGACTTCCCGCGCTCCTAACGCGCCTCAATTGACTGAGACTATGGAAAACGTTCCATGAGGTCTTTGCATCGTTTTGTAGGGCTCGCATTCCGTGGTAGGGTTGGTGGCCGGGACAAGTGGACTGCCCCGTTGGCCTGCATCCTCAGTCAGCTCGCAATCAGCGGCCCGTCCGGAACCGGCGGAAAACGTGGCTCGTGGAACCGATGGTATCCGCCGATCCGACTCTGGGCGACAGGAACGACCAACAAACACCACCGCTTTCCCGTGTGACGTCGGACGCACTGCCGAATCTGCACCCAATTTCGCAACCAGCCCTCCTACAAAGTCCTACAGCAGCCCTCCCACGATATTCGCCTAACAGACACCCTAACATCCATCATCGACGCATTAATAACCCCCGCCCCGCCAAAATGGCTCAACCCTCGCCCAACGAAATCTATCAATTCTCCATCATTTCCGCCCTCATGGACGGCGTGGCCTCCCACGGCATCCCCATCTCCTCCCTCCTCACCCACGGCGACCATGGCCTCGGCACCTTCCGCTCCATGGACGGCGAGATGATCATACTCGACTCCGCCGTCTACCAAATGAAAGCCGACGGGTCCATCGTCCCCATCAACACCCCCGACAAGGTCATCACCCCCTTTGGCGTCATCACCAAGTTTGAACCCACCCAAAAAGTCAAGGCATCCATCTCAGGGAAACTCGACCTCGCGGTATTGTTGAAGGGGTTGTTCCCTTCGGCGAGAAACCACTTCGTAAGCATCCGTATTGATGGGACCTTCAGGAAGATTCATGCACGCACCGCCGGAGGGCAGGAATACCCTAGGGAGGGAATGGTTTCGGTGGCGAGTCGCCAGTCGACGTATACTTTTGAGGCGGTGAAGGGCACGATCTTTGGGTTTCGCTGTCCGGAGTATGTCATGGGGATCAATGTCGCAGGGGAGCATATGCATTTTATCAGCGAGGATCGGCTGAGGGGCGGGCATGTTTTGGGGTTTGAGACGGAGGGGGAGGTGGAGGTGGGGGTGGCAATGGCTTCGAGGTTTCATATGGAGTTGCCGACGGAGGATGAGGAGTTTAATGATGCGGAGTTGGGATTGGATTCGAAGGGGATTTCGGCGGTGGAGGGATGATCGGCCGGGAGAGGAGGAAATGGTGAGAGACATGGCGTTTCGGTGATCCTGATGAGGTTTTGCGTGAGTGGAACTGACAACAACTTTCCTAGGTTTTTTTTGTTTTCTTAGATCGGGATATTGGTATTCGTAGAATTCGTTTAACGTTGGCTGCGGCGAGGGTCTGCCTCCCAGTTGATGATGTCAACGTCAGTTCCGGCCGCACACCATTCATCAACACCACGATCACCAACATCGACATCAAGAACAGGGCGTGTGGCTCAGTTGGTAGAGCGTTCGCTTAGCATATTTTGACTGTATGCGAAAGGTCCTGGGTTCGATTCCCAGCTCGTCCAAAGGTTCCACCACTTAGGTGGGGCTTCCTTTTTGTCCCTGGCAACTAGGAACATCTTGTGGTGCTTCGCTTGGAAGAAGGCTTGTAGATCCCCGTGGACGCCACGAGCGCCGCGTGCAGCTTCTATACCATTGCAGGCGATTGGCAAGTTTGGGCAAGCGTGGCTTCGATGAGGGGGTCCAGCCGCCCATACAGCGCATCGATCTTGGCGGCCAGCTCCCAAGGCTGTCGAGAGCGGAGAGGAAGGAGAGGAGTGGTACAGAGCTGTGTCCAGGGATTCCGGGCCCAGCGCTACATGTGGCCAAGGTAGTTCTCTAGCCATATTCTTGCTCCCCTGGGTTTGAGTGTGGTCGAGAGGCGGCTAAGAATAGCAGAGTGCAACCTCGGTCCTGGCTTCGGACAACGGTTGAGCTAGGACTCGGATATATTCCCTAAGGTCCGCGGCAAGATGCGCAGGCAACAAAGGTACACGGGAGTTTGGGCTTAATAAAGGAATCCCGCTCTGCGATTGGCTGGGATGCATCGTAAACCTCATGAAAGCGTTACATCTCAGCCCGAGTTGATCCTACGCTAGTAGGGGCGAATGGCACAGGCAGCAATGATAAGTCTTAAGCGCGAGGCAGTTTTTCCGATATTATGCGAGAAAAATTACGCGAGCATGGGTGTTGTATTCTGCATTGGGCGCAGTCTATTGAAGGATCAACAAAAAATCGCCTCGGACATAGGCTCCGACTCGGTTGAGAGCCAACTTTGGGGACAATCAAGCTTTGAACCCATCGGACTCTGTATGCCAAGAGGGCGGGGCTTAACTGCCCACTCCATCATGTATAAGAGGGCTGACCTTCCTCCTCAATCGTGGGACAACAAAACACCAACGTCCATCACCAAACAGAGCGTAGATCCTCCAAACAACCAGCTACCACGATGAGGTTTACCGATATTCTCACGTGTCTCCTTGCCAGTGCAGCCCTGGTAGTAACAGCATCACCCCTTTCCGAGCAGCCCAAACGCCCCGATGGCATGTACGCGAGCTACCTCGACGAGAGCGGCAACGAAGTCACCGACTTCGTCCCCTGGAACGAGCTCGGCAACACCACCTTCGTCCCCATCACCTCGATTGCCCCAGCTGCCAAGATCAAACAGCGCGCAAATCTCATGAAGCGCCGTGAGGGATGCCACGCCTCCGTCAATATCCCTTCCTCCGTGACCGATATCGCCAACAAGTGCCTGATTGATAGCTTCACTGCTGATCCTATCGTCACTACCGCCGGCGGCTACAGGAAATACTCGGTATGTGTATTTCTCACTCACAAGTCTGGCCTTCTTGCTCACATCGGGTCACAGTGCGTTTACTCAAACGCCGTTTCGTACATTTGCTCGTACAATACCTACACTCCTGGTCACCAAATCACAACGACGGGCAAGTACAAGTCGGATATCAGGGGGTCGTGGGACTATGTCAAGAGGACGCTCTGTGGTTTCAACCGTCTGGGCTATGCTCAGGTTATTAATGGGTGGGGCGATGTGACTGCTGGGTATACCTTCAATGGCGACGGCTTCTGCTTCTAAGTTGGCGATGAGGACAGAGAGGCATAACACGATCTTTAGCGATTGTTTTCCGTTTCTGTTTCTGTGCACCTCACCTTAATCCCCTATGGCGCATGGGAGGACAATAAGGGCCAGTTCATGTTTCCATGCAAATCGCAGTTGTCACGTTCTATTGGGAGTTCGCACAGCTAGCAGAAGATGCGAATGGAAATGATGTTGAACTTACAAAGACGAGAAACACCTCGATGGTTCCTGGTATGAGCAGTGGAATTTTGCGCCGCTTCCTTTACGTTGGTGGCATGTGAGACGCTGTCCGCACGGCCACCACTCACATCACTACCTTACCCCAGACAGCGCGTTTGGAAGCGACTTTGGAAAGAGAGGGGTGGAGAGATGTTTACGTCAAGTGGCCCCCTCATCACACAGTGAGCAAACGGGCGATGTCGTTGGTGGCGTCGAGCTGAGATGGAATGTAATTGCGAGTAGGGATATCTCGTATTATCAATACTGTGACCTCCTTTGACCAAGACTGGAAGTTTGTCCCAGTGACAATGAGAGCTCCGTCCGAAATCGGATACGGCGGCCCACGGGTTCAAGAGCTGCCGCTTTTGGAAAACCTGCCGCAGCCTCGTGAACTTGACCATGATGCCATGACCTTCAGACGGCAGCTTGTATCCGCTTATTATGCTGACGTTTAGCGTCGTTTTTGATAACATGGCGGTCAGGAGGGAGGTTCCCTTTAAGATCCCATCTTAGCCTACTTTAAGTGACGCTATCACCAAGCATGTCAACCCTGACGTAGCTGGCGGGCCCGAGGTTGGGAGTCACCGAGTCCTATGAGCCGACAAACGCTCAAGCATAAGTATTCCTCTCTTCTTCTCCACTCCGCACCCTTCCCTTCTTCACCATCAGCATCTTCTGCTCCCAGACGCACACAAATAATAATCTTAAACGCTCTGCATTCACATTAGGTGACCTTCCAAATCTCATCTCCAAGCAACCTCATTATCGACACATCCTACTCTCCCGCCCCCCCCCCCCCCCCCCCCCCCCTCCGACCTGCATCAACCTCTTCGCACAATACCGTCAAGTTGTCATCATGGACAAGCCGTCGGACATCAGAGAGGGTTACTGGCAGTGTTCCCAGTGCTATTGCGCCACCAACGAGACGGGCAATGACGAGTGCCAATACTGCAAGAAGGCCGACTCGGGCTACGAGTCGGGTCATACAAAGTGCGGGTATGTCACAGCAGCCCTGATCTTGCCCGCTGAAACTGGCACCCAAAGTTTGCACAGGACGCGCTAACCCTCCCACCCTGGTGCAGCAATTGCGTCGAGGGGACTTGCCCTCCTACTCCGACTCCTTCCTAGTCCGAGAGTCCCGAAGAAGACGAGTAAGACGACGAGACGAGTCTTGGGCTTGAGTTGCCTTGGAACATGGGCGGCGAGTGAGGCGGTTGGTCCGCACGCTATGGAGGAATTCGGGAAGGTGGAGAAATACGATGCATTGATTGAGTCTGGGATTCCTCTTTTCTTTCGGGGAACGGGGTCCATTGCTGCTGTGGATGGGTATTATTTTACAAAATACGGGCAGAACAGTAACGGTCTAAGAAAGAGTTTGCATCATTGAACCTGCCCTTCGTTGCACATGCGGACTCCCCGGTAGACCTCACATATCAGTGCATACGCCATCGGCGTCTCTCATTCATCGTGTGTGGTTCGGCCTTATTGGGAGTACCAGCCAGCCAAAATGCTTGGCCATCGTGCCTCTTGGCGACTGACGAGTCCTAGCCGGGGCACCAGCTACCCTGCGGCCGTGTTTTCGGGCTAACTACCTACCTGAGGTCGGCACTGAAATATCGTCCCTCTGCTTCACCAAAATACGGAAGTCAGGCTTCTTCCAAACTGTGTACCCCATGCTATCACGGTCCCAATCCACATTCTCGTCAAACCAGGAAACGTCAAAGCGCCAAAAGAACTTTGCGATGATGATGCGCATTTCAAGGTAGGCCAAGTTCTTGCCCAAACAGCCCCTCGGCCCAGAGGAAAAAGGCAGATGGGTCTCCAACTTGTCGCCACGCTGGCTCTCGGGCTCGGTGGGGAGCCATCGTTCGGGGATGAACTGGTCCGGGGCGTGAAAGTTGGTCGAGTCGCGGAGGATGGACCAGGGGTGGACTGAGACGCGGGTCTAGGGGTCAGGAAGCAAAGAGTGAGTCGGTGAAGGTCTAGAGTCTAAAGCAGGTTGTGAAAAAATGGAACTCACCCCTCCAGGGACCCAATGCCCAGCAATATCGCATCCGCCCGAGGGAACTACCCTCGTCAAGTGGGCTGCGCCGGCAGGTGGATAAACGCGCAAACTCTCCTCGCAGACGGCATTCAGGTACGGACACTCGTCCATCAGCGCCCGGGCGGTGATGTCTCGTTCCGTCGGGAAGCGCTCGCGAATCTCCTTGATCAGACGCGCACGCTTCAGGGGCGCCCTGCAGAGGTAATAGATGGTGGCCGGGAGGAAGGTGGCTGTGGTGATGCTGCCGGCGAGCATGATGGCCTGAAAATGCGAAGCGATTTCGGCGTCGGTGGGACGGGGACAACCCTTGGCGTGGAGCATGTGATGGACAAAGTCCTTGCGATTGGTTTCCATTGCCAGTCGCCTGTTACGATGTCAATTCTTTCCTATATATATATATTTTTGGCGATGAAACGGAAGAGGCCGGACTTACGCCTGGGTGTGCTCGGTTGCGTACTCGGCATGGCGGACAATGGTATCTTGGAGGGCCTTGGGCATAAGCCAGGTTACCAAGCTGGAGAGGCCGGGCACGACGCAGACGGCTCGGAGCATATCGTTCACGTTGGTCGTGGCTGTGATGACGTCGGCCCAGTGGAACTTTCCTTGAGGCTGCTTTGCTGTTTGGATCTCCCAGGTATCGCCGAAACACATCTCGCCTTTGAAACGGATCTCGGTCAGCTGTTGCCGGTTTTAGCCATGTACGTGGTGTTCCACTCACCAGTGATGTCGTAGGTGATATGATAAGACCACTTCACAATGTCAATGCCGGGCTTGCCATTTTCCTCTCGCAAAGCATGCAGCCGGTCCATCATTTCATCAGTGCGTCGGTGGATGATGCGTTCGTGTTCAAGGAGGTTGGTTGTCGAGAAGCCGTGGCTCAGCATGCGGCGCATACGAGCGTGTTCCTGCTTGTCGATTTCCACAATGATGTTCACGGTTCCGTCCACCTCGGGCGTCGAGAACTCCGGGTCCTTTGCAAACGACGGGACTTTCTTGGTGCCGAAGCCGTAGATGATTTTTTGAGCGGCATGCGTGGAAAAGCTGAGATGGTTCACGCCGATTCGCACCACCGGGCCTGCATGCGCGGGTCAGTTGAGTCAGATCCAAGGCGGAAGAACAGGCTCAAGTGGGGGTGACCGCACCGTATCTTTTGTGCCAAGAATGGT